ATCACGTTGGGTTACTTTCACTTGAAGATATATTTCTTTGATCAAGCACCAAAAATCACCAAGTACAATTTATAGATTTTTTAGGCATGTGTTCCAGATCAGTGGAATTTGAACCCACACCATATATGTCGTAATACCAGCACATACAGCAATATGTGTAGCAAGTGCTACCACTTAAACGGTAGCAAGTGGGTTTTCACTTGCAATACAATCCAAGTGAAATATGGTAACATGGTATGCAGGTGCCCACAACTACAATCGTCCTAGGTATTGGATTGGCTCTGTAAGGGAGTGTAGTAGGAGTTGCTGAACGTAACAGCTAAAGTTATGCAGGAAGAGTGTTAGCAACTATGTTTTTAATTTAGATCTGCTTTTTTTTAACTGGACCCTAAAGAAGAAAAGAGGTTTAGATAAGCATTTTTCTTCAACAAGGACAAAGTTATTTCCAGGCATATAATTTTAATTGATGCCAACGGATTTTTTCCAATAAAATTTATTGGCCCATTATCTTGATAGGTGTGTTGAGAATAGCGTGGTGTTAACAATGACTTATGTTGTACATGCTTCCGTGTTCAAGTAAAAGTTTTGTTGATGGTTCTTTGATGGTTTTATATTTTGCATATTTTTAGTACCCATATTAGATGCTTCGTAGTTTCTGTAATTGTATAGTGATACAACTCAAGGCGCTGTCCTTGTTTATATTATATGAGCAAAAGTATTTATATGAACATTCCGGTTATTTGGTACCAACTTTCCTGCGAAGTAAAATGAATCACTTCTTTTTATATTTTCATTATATTTTATATACATTAAAAGAATAATGTATGTATGCGGCCAGAAGAGACCTATTGTACCAGTTTCACTATTGATTAAACAAAGCCCCTTAAAGCTTTATGAATAAAGTCTAGAACTAAATCTAGAGAAGAGTACTTAATCTGTTCTGGTGACAGAAATTCTTTATGAAACAGGTTTCTTCTGTGCTTTATTAAAGCTGGACAGTCACAAAGAATGTGCATGGTCGTTTCCTCATCTTCGAGGCATAATCTGCATTCCGAGTTAGCAGATAATTGTAGTTTATGAAGGTGATATTTCAGACCATAATGACCTGTAATGAAACCCGTTATCAACCTTATATTACATTTTGAGAATTTAAGAATGTCTTTGTAGGAGTACGATGTTATCAGTGCTTTGCTTTGTCTGAGTCCTGGAAAGTTTACCCAGTACTCCAGCCGCATATGATTTTCCATTTCCTTGATAATCTGTTTTGTACTGACATACTCTAATAAGAATGTTAGTATATCTCAAGATCATCAAAAATTAAACTTATTATTTAATTTATCTGTTAAAGAGTGCATGAACTGAATTATTAAATTTATCGATACTTAGTAAATTAGTTGATTCAATTTTGAATTTAGTTCTAACATTTTATTTTAACTTGAAACTGTTTTCAGTAACTGACTAAGTTATTTAAATAACTATTTTGGTGGTTTTGAATTTTTTCTAAATAAAAATAAAACTAAACAAATTACCATAATTTCGCAATACTAAAATTATATCTCGTTTTTATAGTTTCTATTCTCTTATATCTGAGTTCTTCAGTAATTCTCTATAAAATATAAAAGTATGAAGCAAGTAGCGTATCGTCTCGCTACTTAATTTAATCTCATATTTCATCTATTTTTCATTGACTTCAATCAGCTGATATTGGCGCTATAAGCTATTTTCTGACCCACTCTTTGATTTTCTTATTGCCATTCAACATTTTTTATATACAATTTTTATTATCTATTATAGATATATAAATTATTTGTAATCAGTTATAAGTCGTCGTAGCGTCTGACTATGAGTCTTTATGCTTTTTGTTTGCTTTTATTCAAGTGACCTTTGAAAAAATCTATTATTCAACAATATTGAATTACGTCTTAACTTGACTAACATGTTTTTTTTTGTGTCTTATTGCCTCTACAAATTTATTTCATTTTAAGTTATTTTATTTTATTTTTATTTAATATTTCAAATGCGTTTGTGTATTATTTAAATTGGAAAAGAGCTTAAAGTGTTGTCATTAGGTCATAAATAGAATTGAATTATTAATATCAGGTTTTGTTTTTATCCATATATGAATACTTTCGTACCTTCAGATGCACGCTTAAAGCTGTCATCTCCAATCCGTGGGCGAGTTGATTTCTAAAGTGCTTACTGCTCACCTCAATAAGTTAGCGATTTGCAAGTCAAATTAAAATTTTGTTTAAAAATTATTAAATAGTTTTTATTGTATTTGAGAGAATCTTTTAGGAAATATAGTTTTTTATATAGAATAGTGCATCGCTCAAGAAAGTGAAAATACTATCTTTCGAGCCATTCTCTCTGTAATGTGAGTATTGTGATTTTTGTTTAATTTTTTAATTAATATATGAGTGTGGTATGAAGTCATTGTTGGTGAAGTTAATAATATTTTATTCACCAGATATTTACTTTCATTTTGAATTAAATCAATCATGTTGACGAATTAAAAATTACTATTAGTGTAGGATTACATCAGGTTTTTGGCAACTATGTGTCACCATGTAACTATATATAATAACAAAATAATGAAAAAAGGTTACCAACTTGATTATGGAATCTTTTGGTATAAAGGGAAATAAATTTAGTTCAAGTGAATTGGCTTTCAGATAAAGGAACACAACGATCATATAGATTTGTCTACCTACCTATGTGTTCATTCACATGCAATATGATGGGTTTCGGTTAGGTTGTACCAATGATTAAAAGGGACCCACTTAGACCTATTGACCCATTGTGTTACCGTATAAGGGAAAAAGTCAGAGGTTTTAAACCATCGTGAACCTTTGGTAAAGCTTAAAATGTTATTTAATGGAAGATGGTACAGTTGACTAAGATCCAGTTGTAAGCAGGTCCATACACCATGGGTTTATATGTTAAGTATTAATTTTTTATACAAAACAAATAATAATGTTATTATCTACGATCTTATCAATAGAGTTTTACTAATGAAATATTTAGTTTTCTTTTCTCTAATCCATTAAAGCTTGAGAGCAATTTTTAGTTAGAAAAACATTTAAACTGTCAAGCAATCATCGAATGTATATTTCATACGAAAGGTGATTTATAAGCTAAAAATTGCTTCCATTGTTGCAGTTATTTTATGTACCTAACTTGGTTCCGTTCGACTTTTACGTTTTTGGAGAATTTCTGAAGAAAGGAAAGACTTCTACTGACATCCTGAAAATTTAGTAAAGGATCTACCTTATTGACACATGTATGTATGGATCTACTCCATCTTATATGATCGTAAAAATTCGTAAAATTTTTATTTTCTTACAACTACAATATAGTGCATCCCTTTTTCGATTGAATATTATTTGATATAAAAAAAATGGTATCTAATATATAAGTTTCATACTTAAAAAGTATTCGGAATTTGTAATTTAAGATATGAGTACGTATGATAATCAAAAAGGGTTGTTCGTTCAATACGTAGAACTATTAACTTTCATATTAATTTTAGCGCCATCTAGTAATACTCTAAACCGAAAAGTGTAGATTGAGAGGCATAATAGTGCAATTGCAGACCACTGTGCCGTCGAAATAAAACGTAAGACCTTGTCTATTAATCATTCTTGCTTGGTAGCTGCTTTATATGACGGCGCAGAATCTTGTTGAAACTTTCTTCGAAATATTTGGATGGCCATGACTTTACAGTGTCTGCTATGATATTTTTAAAGTCAGCAATTGTATTAATTTAGAAATCACGTTCCAAAAAAAGTAACTACAAGTGTTTATCAACCTTTTAAGGTTCGCTCAAATCATTATAAATCATGATAGTACTTAACTTTTTGTGGTTATTTGAATATCTAGAGGTTATGGAACATAACCTCTCTGTCTAGAAAACTGTATAATTTCATATGCTTACAAGTTGCGAAAATGAGTAATTTTTCTTTTAGCATACCAAAACACAATATTCGACAATAGAAACAACAGGTCCTTCTCTTTATAATTATAGGATTTTTTTGAATATTGGTGAATTCTTTGAGCTCTTAAAGATGAGAGACTCTCTATTATAAATATATTTTTTTAAAATAATTTCACAAAACGAATCGGTCTAGCTTTGTTGTTAGATTATGTTTTAGTTTCTCATTAAGGCGAGTGAAATTTTTTATATGCATACTTTGTTATCTTTGGAGAATATATTTTATATATATGTTGAAATGGTGAAAGAATCACAATATCATATAGCTCCTATTTTGACTATTCAAACAATCGTTAAAAAATTATGTTTTCTTTATTATTTATATACGATAAACAGAACTTGGTACATATAGTTTCTGTTCTAAAAACTATGCTTGTAATCTGAATAATTTTCAAGGCCTCAGACAACGCTAAAAACCTTTTCGTCTTGAAAAGCGTTGTTAAATAATTTGGACATATATTTAAGCTTTAAATTCTTTAAATGTAAATGCATACATCATACATAAAATAGTTTTTATAGAAATAATATCTTATATTAATAGTATACAGTATTATTAATAATTAATTAAAATCTTAAAAAATAATAACGCTACTATTATTCTTACTCTTATTCAGTTTCTAATATTGAAGTAACATTTAATACTTTCACAAAGTTTAGTAAGTACTTATGCTTCAGTTTCTAGCAAGAGTTTTCTTTCATAGTTTCATCTCTCATACCAAACCATAATGATTTACTTTTGCAAAGCTCATATTTTCAGTTATTTTGATTACAACACTTAAACTATAATAATAAATACATAATACACATAATATAAATTATACTATGTAGTATATTATTTTTATGTAGCAACAGTTATGATTTCATTTACATAGAATATTAACCAAGCACACGCTTATAACTCCTAATCATAGCTTTTCATATGCGTTACAAAATATTAATTAGTTATTTAATTAAAAAATTAAAATACAAAAGCAAAATTTAATTAATTTTAATATCAACTATTTTACAGTTTCACCTTTACATGATTCACAAAGTCACAGAACTGCCAAAAATATCAACACAAATATACCAACTGCTGCACCGTCGTCAGCATCAGCATCAGCAACAACAACAGCAACTGCAAGCACTACAGTATCCAACGTTTCAACTTCAAATTCCACTTCAAAAGTTTTTATTAAAAAATCTGGTAGTAATTCATCTACGCAGAGTTCTAATCGTAAAGACAGTTTTGGTTCAAGGGACTCACTTAATGACATACTATCCGAAACTGGTTTGCAAAGTGGAAACGTTGCAGCGCAACGTAAATCTTTGGAAAATAAAAATTTAGATTTATCAAACGCACCCGATGGTAGCGGTAGCAATCGTTTGTTAGTGAAAAAATTCGAAACGAAAACAGTGCACTCTTCTAGTAGCAACATCACCACAAGCAGCACTGCCATGTCTACAAACATTTCCACAAGTGAACTTCGCAAGAGTATAGAAAATTTAGATGAGAAATTAAAGACTCCACCACCTGTACTTACCAAGAAACCAACAATACCAACTAAGAAATCCACAACCGTGACAAGTGTTGCTGGTAAGTAATTTTAAAATATTTACACCAGATCCAGATCCAAAACCAAATAATCAAAAATATATTTCTCTATTTAAAGGCAACCTTTTATCTGGACTTAAACAAAAAGTTAAAAATGTTGAAAATAAACTTACCACATCAGCCTCGCATGATTACGCAGACGGCATAGCTAGCAGCAGAATGCAGAGTGGTAGTAGTGGTTTACCTGATCTTGCACCCAGCGGTAATGTTGTGATGCGACGTGCAGCCACTGTTGATGCAGATACAGATTTCGATCGCGTTGAACGCGCTTCTATACTAACAGATATGCGTGCAGGACGCGTAAAGGCACCAAAACGACGACCACCATCAGCCGCTATGAATATAGTGGGTGAAAGTAATAACAATTCAGTGTATGTCAATGGTAGCGGTGGTTCTAGTGGCACAGAACAACACTCCACTGATGATGGCAAACCACAATCATCAGATGATAATTCATTAAGTGAAGAACAACAACTAATCAAACCAAAACCACGTGAATGGGAGAAGAAAAAAGCACCATGGATGGCAGAATTAAAGGCATCACAAGTTAAAAAGAAAACATCACCAAATATAGAACCACGCACTATCGGTACTGAAAGTACTAATGCAACTGGTAGCACAGTGGCTGAACGTACATCAAAACTATTGGGTGATGATACAAAAATCAGTAATAGTTCTAGTGCAAGTAGTTCAAGTATAAGTTCGAGTACCACAACTAAAGTGCAATCATCTTCTGTAACATCAAGCGTAATGCAACAATCAATGACTGTTGAAAGTAGTCAACAAATGCATAAGAAAGAATTAAATACTACAACAACAATGGATGCAATGAGCAAAAGTATGAGCAATAAATTAGCTGCGGAAATTGCAACAACAACTACAGCAACAACAAATGATGATGTACGTACACGTCCCAATAGTCTATCGATACGTAATCGTAGTATATCACCTTCAGTAAATAGTACACGATCAAGTGCTTCGAAGAGTTCAGCCTCACCAGCAACTGTAAATATGGCTGATGGTAATAGTGAAGCGCCCAATAATAGTAATTCTATAATATCTGCTGTCAGTTCTACAGCGGCTAAAACAACGATTGTCAATAATCATCATGCGCATACAAATAATAACGCCGCCTCCACAAGCACAACGACAGTACATGAGAATAATGTGGCCACTGTAAGTGGAAAGTCAAGTCACGATAGTGCACGTGTGCAAGAGCTTGAAAAACGCGTTGATAA